ACTTACCCCAGCAAACCGAGTTCAAATTCCAAGCTAGTCTGATGCATTCACTTTCACACTATTGCTCTTGTGAAACCTATGACCTTATCGCTTCCCCTCCCATCTAGCTATGGTTTAAACGGCAGAGTAGGTTGGGTAGCCGACAGGTGCCTCTACCAATTTGATCATGGTAGATAATCTTGATTTTGTGCAAAGATTAAATTACATGTTTAAGAAATGCACAGCTACGAATCGTTATCTGCTAGCTTCATTTCTGTACACGAAACTTAAAATAACATCGAAGTGATTTCCCTGATGGAAAAAGGGATTCAGGTTCGATTCCTGTTTGAATGAACAATTTTTCTTTAGTATGTCTTCTAGGCCGGTTGTCATTAGTTTCAATGTTTAATAAAATAGATTAAAATAAAATAAAAACACGTTTAATTACTAAAAAATAACATTTATAGAAGAAATAATGTCGGATTAAAAGATCAATTTACAAAATTACTTTTGCTTACGTTTCGGCGAAAAATAAATGAAACTACCTGCGCTTATAGGGCGTCCGTCGGACGTGAAAACTGAGTGGTTGACGGATTCTGGTTTATCAAAGCGAGGCTGCGCCAAGGCACTGATTTTGTAGTGTTTTGTTACCGGAAAGAGTGGGATGCGCAGGTCTGCTCTTTGTCATTTAAGGTCTGCCTTTTCTTCCTTTTACCGATCTTTATTTTTTGAGAAGGACATTACGCGAATAGAATCGTTTTACACGCTCTTCTCGCTATTATTTGATCCCTGTTTAAAATTGAGACGCGAGACTCGACGTGTTTCGCAACACTTATTGTCGGACCGACTTTAATTATCCTTGAGTCGAAGAAATTTACGACAGTTTCGGGGACGAAGATGAAGAAGAAATCCCAACAACAGGTGTGCGTTCCTTAAATAGATAATTCAAACCTTTTCTATATTACTGCTGCCTGCAATGACCAAATTCTTAGCGGATGGCTCTGTCTATAGTAGAGGTTTCCCTGATGGAAAGAGAAATGCAGTTTCGATTCCTGTCAGGATGCACAATTTCTCTTTAGTGGGACTTCTCGATCTAAATAATGTAACATGTCAGAGAACAAATAGGAAACGTTTATGCATCTAACATGTTTCACCTTATTATATCTTCATCAGAGAAAAAAGATATGGAGAAAAAAAATAAATTCTGGTATATTTACTTTTGTTTTATATGATTTTCATTGGTTAATCATGTTTTACATGCATTCGGCATGTTAAACAGACGTTAGTACAATTTTTGGCGTTCCAAATTCAAGGTGAGACAACACGTCCCTTCGAAGTTCTAAGAAATAAACGCATTCCAAGCTCAACTGAAAAACCGTGAATATTACTTTATATACATAAAGCAATATTCACTATTTTACATGTGTATAATATATACACGTATAGTAATTTACTAAGCGAAACTTACTTGTGGCACAAGGCCGAAAGTATGGAGCCATTAATGTGGATCGAACTCACTACTCAATAGAAAGTGATCTAGCGAGACAAATATAAACACATATATTGCACGATGCATTTTTAAAACCATTTCACTCCAAGTAAGGCAATATTGACACTAGAAAGGGGGGGGCTATAGGGAGTGAAAATAGAAGAGAATGAAAAAGACTGAGAATAGAGAGGATTGAGGAAAAGACAAAAAAGGAATAGGGCTCACGAAGACGGAATATGGCGATTGATATTGCATTTAAATTTTTGAAGATTGTAGTTGTCAGGGAAGCAAGAAATTGGAAGGGAGTTTCACAGGAAGAAAGTGTAAGAAAAGAAACTGTTAGAGTAGAAATGGCAGTTGCATCACGTTATTTCAACAGTAAAAGAGTGAGACCTATCTGCCAATCTAGTAAAGGTGTGTATATATTTTGCATGGGCTGATACACAATAAGAGTGCTGCAAAATTTATCGGCCGAATCCACTTCCCGAAATTGGATAGGTATAGAAATATCTGAATTTAATTTGTAATCACTTCATTATCGGGGCTGAGGAATTTTCAGCACCCACTTGTATATGGGTATATTTAAAAATCATTTCATCGCAATGCCACTAAGACACAAGGAATTACTGGGAGTGGAAAAAATTGAGAAGATTTTAGTGAATGGAAAGAGCAATAAAAGAACAGAATTCAGGCAAACAGAATAAGGCGATTGATGTTGCATAAAAAGTTTTGAAGATCAAAGTTGACTGGAAAGAAAGAAGCCGGTCGTGAGTTCCACAAGCGAGAAATGCAAGGGAAGAAACTGTTAGCATAGAATTTATGCTGACATATTGTAATTTTAACTGTAAAATGATGAGACCTATCTACCAACCTAGTACTGCGGTTAAAGATTGTAGGTGACAGAAAAACAATACACTGGAAAAGAGAGCCAGTGATGAGAAATGTTAAGAAACAACAAACTATTAGAAGAGATGGTTACATCGCGTTATTTCAACAGTAAAACAATGAAATCGAATTGCCAATCTAGTAGTTCGGCTTATGTGCGTGTTTATAGAAATAACTTTCATAGTAATGAGAAATTATGTTAGATTTTTAAAAAATAAATTAATTTAAAATTATTGTGTTTACGTTTCTGGTAATAGATATCTATGGTATTATAGAGCATGGAGCGGGTCATCACGAACACTTCGCTGAAACTGATAGGTAAAGAGAAGAGTAAATTTATCATCTTGGCCTGAATCTATGACAATGCAATGAAATTAAGCTGCATCATTTATCTAAAACATTATTGGCATTAGTTTTCAAAATAAATAAGAAAACATTATTTTCAGGTTTTTTTTTCTGAAACATCTAAAACTTCTAAAATTTTACGAAAGTTTTACATGTGGGAAAGTCTATGAAAATAAGTACAAGTGAAAAGAAAAAAAGTCTATTTAAAATCAAAACAATACATCTATCCATCCACATACACACACACACACACATATATATATATATATATATATATATATATATATATATATATATATATATATATATATATTATTAATCATTTCATCTCAAGCAAGGCGGAAATGTCACAAGGAGTTACAGGGAGTTAAAGTGAGAGAAAAGACTGAGTATAGGGAGGTTTGAAGAAAGGACAAAAGACGAACGGGGTTCAAGAAAATGGCGATTGACATTTCATTTAAATTTAAGATTGTAGTTATCAGGGAAGCAAGTAAATAGAAGGGAGTTCAACAGGAGGGAAGTGCGAGAAAAGAAACTGTTGGAGTAGAAATGGCGGTTGCATTTAGCTATTTCAGCAGTGAAAGGGTGGGACCTAATTGCCAATCTAGTAGCAAGCATAAATTCATATATTAGGAACACAAGGGAAAATGTGGTGTTAAAAGAGTTGTACTGCTACTGTCCGGTCAAATAAGATAAGTATGGCAGAGACATTTAGCCATTCTCTTATTCATCCACCACCGAAACACGAAAGAGAGCAGGGCGAACTGGATTCATGCCTTTCATTAGGGCATTTATGCGAAGATAACACAAGGAGTCTGGTTATCATTATGCCAGCCATTACATAGAGATTTTTTTCAAAGTGTGCGCACATATGTATATGTTAATTACATCATTGAAACGAAAAGGGATATTATGTGAAATTTCCCATTTAAAATGCATTCGTGTTGGGAAAAACTTTTTTTTTTTACAGTAAGGTTCACCCTGTACAAGACCCCGGGGGCACTCGAGTTAGATAGTTACGTTAAGAGACAGTTACCTCTAAACTTAAAAGTATAGTGATCGGGAAACATCTTCTTGGGAGACGGTTCCACAGAGCAGTGGTTGACAATGAAATACGGAGAGTGGGTGGTTTACTACGATGTAAGTGACATGGCGGGTCTTAGCTTTGAAGATTAGACATGGTGGAACCAAGAAATGTAGTTCGTTTGAGCATTTTCCATGGAACTAGTAATAGAGCAGTGAGAGGGTTGCTACATCCCGCCTGTGAGAGTGGGATTGGAGGGTGGACAATAATTCGTCACCCACAAGGACTCGGAGACGCTTTTGGACTCTGGAAAAGTGAGTACTGGGCAATTCCCGCCCAAATATGACAACAGTACTGTATTTTCGGTCTGAGCTGGCTCTTGCAAAAGTAGAAGATAACAGGAGGAGCCTGGTAATTATCTGAGCCAATTTTCAAGCACGAATGACAGATCGTATGTACGAGTTTCACGTGAGATCTGGGTTGAGCCTAAGACAGAGGGCCTCCCTGATAGGCAAAAATTCTGAGTCGGCTCGGAGATGATGGGACGCCACTAGCCTAGTTTTCCAGGCGGATAGTATGTATGTACAAGATCCATTTGAGGTCAGGTGCAAGTTTAAGGCCCAAATGTCTCTCAAGATACGCTACCTCCCCGAGGGGATATTCATTAATCGTGACTGGAGGTAGTTCGGTTTCCGATCGGCGATGATTCTGGGAAATATTAGAGAGCGACGAAATATCATTATTCTCCAATTTCATTTTAAATGTAAGAAGGATTAATTTTTCATTCCAATTTCCCGGAAGACTTAAATAATTAGTCCAGCGTAATAATATGAACGCAATTTCAAAGAAAAATGGTTTTCATTGACTCTCAATGAAGCTTTGTTGTCTGGCATAAGAGCTGCCTGTGCTTCAAATTTGGTTATCGGTTCTAACCCAGGGTCTTAGCTTTGAAGATTAGACATGGTGGAACCAAGAAATGTAGTTCTAACCCAGGGCTTTCTTCAAAACACTCCAACCATCGTTAAAAGGTTTAACTATTTTATGTTATGTAAGGTTCAATAATCCGTTCTTTGAGGTCTGATACAGTCTTTATAACGCCAAATGTTCGACAAATTGCACAGTGAGAGTTATACTTGTTATAATAGTTTCTAGCCCGAAGCAAGAAACATGAAAAATACGGCTGAATGAAACACTATTTGCTTCTTCACTTAATTTTTCACAAAGAAAAGTAGGCTGACGTCTTGCACTGTTTTTTATTTTAACCCAATTTTTAAAAAATCATATGCCGTTTAATAAATATATTTGATCAGATAGATAGATAGATAGATAGATAGATAGATAAAGAAACTGTGATTGATAAAAATGGAACAGATAGATAGATAGATAGATAGATAGATAGATAGATAGATAGATAAAGAAACTGTGATTGATAAAAATGGAACAGATAGATAGATAGATAGATAGATAGATAGATAATGAAACTGCTGGATAGATAGATAGACTGATAGACAATAATGAAACTGCTAGATAGATAGATATATATAGATAGATAATGAAACTGATAGATAGACTGATAGACAATAATGAAACTGCTAGATAGATAGATAGATATAGATAGATAATGAAACTGCTAGATAGATAGATAATAATGAAACTGCTAGATAGATAGATAGATAGATAGATAGATAGATAGATAGACAATAAGGAAACTTCTAGATAGATAGATATATATAGATAGATAATGAAACTGCTAGATAGATAGATAGATAGATAGATAGATAGATAGATAGATAATAATGAAACTGCTAGATAGATAGATAGATAGATAGATAGATAGACAAACAGACAGACAGACAATAATGAAACTGACAGATAGATAGATAGATAGATAGATAGATAGATAGATAGAACAAAGAAAACCTGTGTTTCTAAGGCTTCTGAAAATGGAATCAAATTCAGTGTTAAGCAATGAAAGGGACAAACGATAATTAAGAGGCAAAGGAAGTCGGAAAGGGGAGATAGAATTTTCTTCCTCCTCCAATTCAAAAATGCACGACCACTCAGAATATTTAATTTTGTATGTACAATGTTTGATTTGACTATTTCTCTGTAAAAATCCTTACTAATTAAAGAACATGACTTCATTTTTACACATGTCATTATATTTGGAAAATGTTTATATTATGTTGTACTAATTGCACTATACTTTTTCACAGAGGAGGCCTTGCATAATTGTTAGCACTTTCGAAAAGCCCGCCATTATTACGGCAAAAAAAATTAAAATACAGGTAGAAAATATAAAAATACTCTCCGGGTATTTGAGTATATATGCTTGCTATTAAAAATTAGGCTACGTGAAACATTCAGGATAAGGTCTAGTTCGTAACGACACGATTCGGATATAGGGTTTGTTTTCTATCTATCTAATTGTGTTCATTATCTATTTAATTGTGTTCATTATCTATCTATCTATCTATAATTATGTTCAGTATATATCTATATGTTTAATCATGTTCATTATCTACCTATATATCTGTCTGTTTGTCTGTCTAATTCTGTTCCTTATCGAATTCTGTTCATTATCTATCTATCTATCTATCTATCTATCTATCTATCTATCTATCTATCTAAGTTTGTTCCTTATCTAAATATGTTCCTTATCTATCTATCTATCTATCTATCTATCTATCTATCTATCTGTTTGTTTGTTTGTCTGTCTGTCTATCTATTTAATACTGCCCATTATCTATTCATCTATCTGTATATAAAAGGTGCAGAGTACAACTTGTAGTAATCCGTGTTTGTATATGCTTACATTCAAGCTTAGTATAAACAAACAATATGTGCATATTTAACAGAAACTGAAAGATTGAAAGAAAAAAAGAGAAAGAAATATAGGAAGACAGTATAAGATAGATAGATAGATAGATAGAGAGAGAGAGAGAGAGAGAGAGAGAGAGAGAGAGAGAGAGAGTGGAAGCGAAAGCGTGTAAAACTTCAGCGTATGTATATATGTGAGTGTGAAAGCAAGTGTCTGTGTACATGTACGCGCGTGTGTTGTGTGTGGGTGTGTATGCGCTTACGCGGGCGCGTGAATGTGCGTGCGTAATGAATTACACATTTGTATATGTGCGCACCATGGAAAGGATTCACAGACCGTCATCAGGCAAGAAACAAATACGACAATTGAGACTCCAGTGGAAAAGATTGAAGTGAAGAGATGAGAGTTATTGACAGATGTCCCACGCTCTTTGATGTCATCTTTTTTTTTTTTTTTTTTGCGCTACAAAAGTTTGACCAACAGAAAACCTTATCCCGAGGGCCCCGAACAGATTGGTAGGGGGTTATAGATCAGGTTTCCTCTTGCCTAATCAACACCCGACAGAGTTTCTTCATCATCGCTTGCTGTTTAATGAAGCAAATGAAAACAAATTTACAAATTTATGAGTCGAACGAAGCAGTAAACCCAAGTCTCCCGAGCCAATTTAAAGTGACTTTATAAAAGAAACGAGCAACACCTTACTTTGAATATTGTTGCCACATCAAGTCTGGTGCTCACGCTATAAATGTAGATATTCTTGATAATAACCCAAAGAAGAATCTGCAATGTTATTGGCCCTAATCTGGCATCTCGGCTTCAATCATTTTCCCATCGTCGTGACATAGCTTCCCTGGGCTTTTTCTTTAAATACTTTCATGTCAATTGTTCTGATGAACTTTCCTCTCTGATACGTAGATTTTATGAACGTAAGCGCAGTAATAGATTGGCGGCAAGGTCTCATGATATTACAATTGAAATGACGAGATGTAACCGTAAGTTCTATGATAACAGTTTCTTCTACAGCACTTCCCCCTAGTAGAACTCCCTTCCGGCTTCTTGCTTTCAAGTCAACTTTGATCTTAAAAAAATTAGATGCAATTTTAATCATTATTTTCTGTCTTTTTGTATTCCTGTTCTTTTTATGGTTCTCTCTACTTAATAATGTTTTTTTTTTCTCATATTCTCTAACGCTCAGTATCCCCTTGCGTCTTAGTTGCTTTATCACCTTGCTTGGGTGAAATTATTATACGAGACAATGTAGGTTCGATCTTAAACTCCGTTTAGAGTGTCTTCTAAAATCATTAATCCAAAGTTCGTTCGCAACGCGTCCTAAAGGCCAAGATATTAGATTATTTCATATGAAATGATGTGTTTTTTTTGTTTGCAGACTTTTCACTAAATTTGACTTACGTTTATTGGCATAAGACAATATTTTATCAATTATTTGTTACTAATATTTGCTATTTTGCTTCAGATTGGTCTTTCCATGAAAAACATTATCTGTAACCTCGAAAATTGATTGGTAGATTTTTTTAAAATAAAATCATTGCATTTATATGATAAAGACGATATATATATATATATATATATATATATATATATATATATATATATATATATATATATATATATATAATATGTGAAAATATATAGAAAATAGGAAGGAACTGGTTAGGTGAATAGTCCAAAGTTCCTTAGTATTTTATGTTATTATTTTTAAAAAATAGTGCTCGATACAAAAGTAGAGCATAAATATAATTATTTATTTAAAAATATGATTCCAAATCGCTACATAAGAGGTCTCATGTTTCAAAACAAGAGCCGAAAACTTCAATATAATCCTTTAAATTAAATTGAGTTGAAAATAAAAAGGGCTCCGTTCCATCTTCAAGTGAATAATTTAATTTAAAGGATTATGAAGTTTTCGGCTCTTGTTTTGAAACATGAGACCTCTTATGTAGCGATTTGGAATCATATTTTTAAATAAATAATTATATATATATATATATATATATATATATAATATAAAAGACTCAAAGACTAATATTCCATGGTTATAATTTATTACATTGCAATCATAATCAGACTTAGAAATTTAATTTTGAATTTGTAGATCCGATGAATTGGATCATGATTACGATTCAATGTAATAAATTATAACCATGGAATATTAGTGTTTGAGCCTTTCATATTATATTCCTACTCTGTCCTGGACATTGAGTTCTATCTGGATTCTATCCTGTTGAAATTATATATATATATATATATATATATATATATATATATATATATATATATATATTGTCCACTGATATTATCAATATATATATATATATATATATATATATATATATATATATATATATTGTCCACTGATATTATCAATATATATATATATATATATATATATTGTCCACTGATATTATCATATATATATATATATATATATATATTGTCCACTGATATTATCAAATATATATATATATATATATATATATCAGTCGTCAGAAATTAAAATAAGGAAATAGACTTATTAAGTGTATACCGTAAATGTATTGAAAATTATTTTATTATGGAAACACATTATAACTAATTTTCTAAAACTCTCATTGAAAATAATGGAAAATGGATAGACAGACTTCAGGAATTAAAGGAAATGTTATTGACAGAATAGGTCTATAATATATATAATGTAGTACTACCATAGGAAACATGATATCTAAGGTTTAAAATTATTTTTAAAAATGAAAAATATTTTGATATTAGTAAAGAATTAACAAAACATGTGACAATTTTTGACCAAGATAAAATAGTACACTTGTATGTACATTAAAATACAATCTTCTGATAAATTTAAAAAGTATGAAATATCAAAAACATAGAATTACACAACATTGAGTATTTATATTTGTCTTATAGACAACATTGATTTAATGACAATGTCGTTTGATGAGCTATCTGGTTTATAGACAATGTTTGAAAAACTGATAAGATGTGTTATCTGTAGTCAGAGACTGATGACTTACTAAGATGTTTTATCTTATCTGTGGGCAGAATCTGATAATGTGCTAACATGTATCTGTGATCATCACTTAATGACTTGCTAAGATATGTTACCCTGTCTATGTGAAGATGTCTTGAATATAGCCAAAGTCCAATTATTACATGTGTTATCTTGTCTGTATCCAGACACTGATGTGTTGCTAAAATGTGTTATCTTGTCTGTGGTCTGAGAGAGAGGACTAGCTAAGATTTGTTATCTTATCTTTGGCCAGCAACTGATTACATTCTAAGTTGTCATATCTTTTATTTTAGTTTTAATTTCAAGCTAATAGATTAAATTTAATTTTTCCAATAAATTGCTGTATATCAAAACTAATTTAAATTGACTGGAAGGAGTATTTTTTTTATTTTTATTTTTTATTTTTTTTGCTAAAATCGCTGACGAGTGACCTTTCATTTTCTTTCATCACAATGTAATTTTCTTTATTAAAAAATTCTTCCCAAAATAAATAATTTTCTGAAACTTTATTTGAGGAAAATTAGCTGATTTAATGTATAATTAATCTGATTTGGAACAAATATTATTTACTTAAATATGTAAAATGGCAGGAATGCCTTTCTTTAACACAGCGGCAGCTGTTTATTTAAGCTGTTTGACAGTTTCATGACATTGATATTGTATCTAATGTTGTTCTATGGAAGCTTAAAGGCGTAAAAATTAATTGAATATATCGGGAACGCCTTTCATATATAATTTTTAAATACTCAATAATTTTTTTTAAATTTAAGAAAATATTCTCTGTAATCTAATGTTTTATTGAATTTTAGATACTTTCTGGCTTTAAATTCCCTATAGTTATTGATCTTATTTTCTGATGATGTTGTGTATGGGAGACTTTATCTACAAAAATCGGTACGTTTATACGCATACAAAAATTCAAAATTCTTTTAAAAATATTGGTGTTTGATGATTTGTACGGAGTTTTTCCATTTATAATTAGTAAATATAGTTTTTACTTAATAATAATATCATCTAAAAGGCTGAAATTAAACCAGTATTTTAAAAGATTTATAACTTCATAAATTATACCAGTTAAATTTTTTTGAACGAAAAAAATTCTTCTAAAATTTAATTATTCATTGAAAAAAGTGTCTTTGATATATTTTATTTCTAAAAGCAATTAAAACCTTTTTTAATTAAATAATATCATAGTTTTATTGCATTTTTTATTTTACGATTCAGGTCAGGTTTTAAGTAAATGGTATTCTTGTGCGACAAAAACCAAGTTGATGATTTAAATTTTCCAAGGAATATTAATAT